CAAAACTCCTACAACAAATCACAGATGGGCATACATCTACTTAATTTCGTGAAATTATAGACTACGCTAGTATTCTAGCTAATGTGAGCCACTGGCATAACCCCGGAAGATAGCGAAGAAGCCACCAGCAATATGCTGACTATAGGCTCCATTCAAGCATCGTATATACCGCTTGGCGACTCACCACGCCACAAATTTTCAAAGTAAGCAGCAATCAACAGATTCCCATAAACATAAGAGAAAAATCAAGAGAAACGGCTGGCCTACGCAAACGTATTTGGATGACTAAGACCAGGTGCCACTCTAAAGCAACAGAACAAACTTCAATAGAGCCCCAGACAGCTGGAAGAGATTATTGAAACAACTCAGTAAATGCAATCATAGTATGCACAATATGTACAGTCACATCAACAGCAACTTGCCAACAACCAAAACTATTCGATCTGGATGAGGCTAGTAAGAAAAATAAACGCCCACAAATTCAAAATACCACCTATAAGAAGAAAAGATGGAACATGGGCAAGAAGTGCAATAGAGAAAAGTGAACGATTTGCTGAACACTGCTCTTCCGTATTTGAACCTATAACTCATGAACCAATAGCAATTGAGGGAAGAAGTAACTTCGATTTTAATAATGCTCCCTTCAATTATCGCTTCCAACGCATCTTTTTCTTCTAATGAAGTAAGAGAAACTATTCAGCTTTTATAAATTCTAAACAAAAGCCCAGGTTACACCTAATCACAAGCAAAGTCTTGCTGAATTATCAACGAATGCCTATTGAATTTATCACCTTGCTCTTCAATGCGATTCTCCGACCATTCCCTGCGACAATGGAAGATAGCACGATCATAGCGATTACCTAAACCAGGAAAACCACCTAACGATGTATCATCTTATCGCCCAATAAGCTGCTTTCCCATCTTATCAAAGGTATTCGAAAAAATCTTACTCCAACGATTAAAACCCTTCTGCAAGAAAATAATCCAGAACACCCAGTTCGGATTTAGAGAAACAACACTCAAACAGACGAACAAAGCGCCACGAGTTGTTGAAGTTATTACTCAAGTCTTCGAAGAAAAGCTACTGCGCAGCTGTATATTCTTTATATACAACAAGCTTTCGACCAAGTATGGCACGAAGGACTTCTGATATAAAATTAAATCTACTCTGCCCCATGCCGTATTACCTACTGATGAAGTCATATCTATCTAAACGACACTTCAAATTAAATATCAAGAAATTATCATGCCGTCCCACCCCATTAAATCAGGAGTCCACTCAAGCAGTGTGCTGGTCCTGTTTTTATACCTTATACACATATTCTGCAAAACAAGTAAATGGAACCAGGTTTTGCGGGACCGCACAGCATCTTTTGGCTGTGCAATGAAGACCAATTCCAAGCATCACAAATCTCCCAAAGGGCATCTGAAACCAACTTGAACAATTGCTACAACAAGATGGCGTATTCAAAGTAAATGCCTCCAAATCTAAAAATATCATATTACCCTATCCGAAAAGGAGTGTCTAAAGTACAGCTAAACACATGTATACTAGCACAACTATCTTGCATTAAATATCTAGATTTCATATGGACCAAACGGCTTACATGGGCAAGGAACCATATAACTTGCAAAGAGAGAAGAAGCACAAATCAGAATTCCCAATATCATGGCCTCATAACGCGCCACTCAACTTTCTTTAGGACAACAAGTACTTCCTCTACAAATCAATAATCAGGGCTATTTTGAGCTACGGAATCAACTCTGGGGATCGCTAGCAAGTCAAACATTGAAATACTCCAGAAGATTTGAATTTCAAAATGCATTTAGGAGACTAGCAATGCACCGTGGTACGTAACGAATGAAACACTACGGTCGAGACCTCAAGATACCCATAATATATTGAGAAATAGACTCAGGCATAGCAACCGCCCTACAAGAGCGGTAACCAAACATCTAAATCCATCAGCCATCAATCTATTTTGGATAATAGCGAGGGAAGTACACTCGACTGAACGTCAGTACTATCTGGAATCCATTCGCTTCAAAGCGGCCTTCAACAACCACATCGACATGTACTCTACTTCAATTTAATGTATATTAACACATTTACTGAATGTTTGTTAAGAAACAGATTGGTAAAATAAACAGAATAAATAAGATAAAAAAAAATAGATAACTAGGGAGACCTTTAAGGAAACGGCGGAAATACTGAAATTAATTAAACAGTCGAAACCTGAAAGAATCCGATGAAACCAAAGCTATTAGCATAATAAGAAAATAATTAAAATTAAAAAAAGTACCAGATCATAATTTCTCAGATTCATATTATGAATTCACAGATATTATTTTCTTCGTGCAATATTTAAATAATTTATTTTACAATACTTTTTCATGTTTCGATCACAGTTTTCTAATCACTGTAGTGTGATCTAACATCGTAGCTATTTTTTTGTGAACGGAATGTTAGTTATGAAATAGTATAGACACTATTTTATATTTTGAATTGAAAATTGGTTAATGAGGTTAATCGTTAATGAGGACTAATATAACACTAAAACACATTTACTGGCACATGTAGAGTTTTCCATCTACCTCAAGTATATCAAGTAAAATATCTCTAAAATGAGGTTCAGAAAAGAAAACAATGGCAGGATATTTCTCAAGCGTATATTTAAAACAAGAATTCAGTACAGATGCGCGAGGAGCAATGTGCAGAGATGGTGGTTGACGGGACCAGGCCAAGGCAGCGGAAGTGCAGGTAAACAGCAACCAACGCTCGGTGTGGGCAACACTTCACCGCACTGCAACTCTCCATGAAACAGCTTCACGCCCGCCTGCAACCACGATGAACAGGGGATGGGGTTACTTAAAGAATCTGCTACCAGTTCAGCTAATAAACAATTTCACCATTTTATGAAATTTTTAAATTGGCTGGAGAGACTATTGTACGAGTATGTATACTCACGTAATCGTTAAAGTACATATTAAAGCACATTATTTATTATTTTATTTCACAAAATCTTCCAATTTTGCATTCTTCTGTACGAAACGAAAAAATTATGATATCGGGTGTGGATAGCTGTAGAGCGGTAGCTTCCTCGGCTCAAAGAATTGCTGGTTCGAATCCCGCCTCGGGCATGGATGATTGGGTGTGCTCGTGATGTCCTGTTCGTGTCGTGTTCTCCCTACAGTTACCCCAATGTAAACAATAACAGTGATCGCTACATCTCCCTTAGTTGTTAAAAAGCGGTCTAAAAATAATGAAAAATATTTTAAAAAGTTATGCTAGAAGAAATCAATGTCGAGATTTTGAGGGGAATAGCTTTTTCCACACGACATTTGAGAGATCTCCACTGTCTCTTGCCTCTCAATCCGTTTGTGATCAACACGACCTGCAACTTGTACACACGATTTTCATCAGAACGAATATTCCCCCATCTAATTCACCCGACTTGAGGCCCTGTGAAATTGAAACGATCTTTTAATTTTGAGAAGTAATTTATATACGATTCCTAGTAATTTTCAACTTGCCTTAAAATTGTCAGTTGTAAAACAGAAAATAACGCTTATAAAAATAGCACACATCCCATTTCCAATAAAACATCTGCATTTTCGAAAATTACAAATATTATTTCTTCAACGTCTTCCTGTATTGTTGACGGTAGGGAGCTTTTTCTTAATTAAGAATGTTCTTCAAAGTAAAATATTTAAATAATGTGCAATTTTTTAAAGAAATATTAATAGTTTTTGTGTATTTTTTTCAATTAAAAAAGTAGTGTACGAGAATGTAAAAATAGTTGTAGCCTTAGGAATACGAACTTCGAACGTTTTTTTTAGCACCGCAAACAATACAATATAAATACGCCATTGTTTCTTCTAAGTTTAAAGTGCAAGGAAACCTCGATAATTTAGTTGAACATCACATTTTAGCAGAGGCACCAAAAGACTCTTTTATCATCTACATCATTTAGTAGTTAATTTCTTACATGCTAAAATTAATATTCTTTTATATGTCTCGCTCTTGCTTTGTTTGCCAGACATAGCTACACATGGAGCTCAAAATAACTTATTAATGAAAAGTCACAATTTACAAGAAGAGTTAAATTTACTGATAGAATGGCCAAGTGAAAATAGAATATAAATTAATTCAAAAAATATTAAGCCACAGTATGTCATAACCACAGTAAACATTAAGACGTTTAAATCCCATTCCACCATCGACCATAAAATGTTCATTCCTATAAATAATCTCTGGTATGTGCCAAATAAATACAAAACGAACTAATAATATGGCAATTGACAAAATAGATGAAAGAATATTGATATTATTTTCAATGTACAATCCATGTTCACTGCATCCTTTAATCCTGTTCAAGCCATTTCAATATCAGGTTTACCCTACCCCTGCTCGCGACATTCCAAGGACTTCTGCACACTCGGTAATAACCTGTCATAACCATTGTTAACATGAATTAAGTGAAAATAATGCATGGTCCTTCAAAGGGTTTGAAACAATATTAATAGAACCCTTCCTGTGGTAACCTCAACAAGTCATCCTATATCATGATATATTTATCCATCAAAACTTGAAAGACAAAAATCTCGGTAACTAAATCATTTCAACTATTATAGTAACTGTGAAAAATAAGGTACTACTTAGTATTCCTATTTGTTCCGAGACATTACATGATAGAGATTCTAAACTTTGCCACGAGGCGCTATCTGTAAGCGGCGCCAGGGCAGAAGGGCAACTTGACTCACGTGCGAGCAGAGAGCGCGGCCGGGCGACGCGCAGGTGGCGCCCAGGACAGCCGCTTCCTCCGCGCCGCCCGCGCCGCCCCCGACGCGCGCTCCACCGCCTCCAGCGCCTCCGCCGCCGCCTCCAGCCCTCCTGCAAAAAGCACAGGGGCTCATGCGTGTCCCAACGCAATACCCTCAGCGAATTTCATTGCAAGTGTTTCTTGGTTATGTTATTATTTTTTTGCTTGTTATTAAAAGAGCAACCAGAGAAATTAAACCGCAATGAAATGTAAAACATCCTTTAATCAATATTAATTTTCTATTTTTCACAAGGTTACACTTTATAGGTTATGTATGTCTATAAAAAGTTAAAAGGTATATCTGTTTAAAAGAATAAGAGCCGGATTAGACTGGAGTGAAATCTAATATCATATCCTTACGTTTCAGTGTTTCAGAATTTTAAAAAACCGTTTTGTTTGCTATATATAGAGGAATAGAGGTAGAGAATTTTGTAAATACATTCATTCGTCGAGATTTTGGTGATAAAGTAATTTTGAGGGTCATTGAGAATAAAATGAAGTGCTATTTTTCGTCCGTTCGTAGTGATGTGTGCGAATGATTCATGAGAAAATTTCTGAATGATTTGTATGCATCCCCTCGTTTTAATGGAATAACTTTTCTCATAGATTCTACGTAAATTTCTTGTTAGATGGAAGAAATAATCTTCTCTGACTCGACAGTTTATTGTAGAATACGAGTATAAAAGGAGAACAGAACGTCCCAGAGAATAGAAATAAAAAGAAAAAAGATTGAGTTTGGAAAGTCGACGTGGCGCAAAGTTCAGTGATTCAGTCTAGAATTTGCACTGGGTATCTTAAACCTCATTTTACGGGAGCACAAAGTTTAGGATAAACTTTATTTTCCAGCTATTGATGGCGTATAATCTTATACTTGGGCATGTGAATTTAAAATTCAGATTAAGTTATTATTTACTTCAAATTAGTAGTTTTTTTTACTATTTGGTGCAAATATAATAATTTGTAATATATACGATGTGAGAGGATTTCACAGTTACGGAAGGTATGTGTAAACTTCAGAATGTTTACGTTGATACTTCTACTTACTTACTACAGGGGCGCTGCAAGCGTTCCTGCAGTAGTTCAGACGTGATGATGGCGGAAGGTTGTTAAAGCTGTGGTGCAACGTAGAAGCGAAACCGAATACGCGCGCCGTGAGGTGAGTAGAAATATGACTAATATACTTTGTTCTGCGCGAGTATTCTTTTGGTTTTGATACTTGCACTAAAAATACTTGAGATGCTAACCAGTTTCCAAAATTAGGTTAAGTACAGGCAATAAGAATAAATAATAAGGGATCACAATTAAAAAACTCATTAATTATATATTACTGTAAGTCGCTTTGTATTAAAAAAGGAAATGTCCAGTTACAGCGGCGAACAATCAAATTGCTTATTGTTTCAAAGTCGAAAGAGCTCCAAAATGCTCCAAAGGATTACAAGTCCATATGTATACAACAATTGCAATATTTTTAATCAAAACAACTACTTGTGCGATTGATCCCCTCAATCATAAGGTGTTTTTAAGTTTTAATTTTCAACATCCCACAACTATTTAATTGTAATTTTTTTGTTTTATTATTTGCACATTTTGGTTGCATTCAATTTCTACAATTAAATACTTCTAAGCAATTTCTTCCATAGTATTCCCGGCAAAAACAGCTGATCTGTGTAATGCAGTCACGAACACAATTATTTATTCATATTATTATTATTATTATTATTATTATTATTATTATTATTATTATTCGTTTTATTCATATTATTGTACGTAGTTGGAAAGTGCAGCAAAGAAAAAATTCATCTTCTTACTCGGAACCAAATTGACATACACACATTTTATTCATTACAAACAGATATGCACTAATAATATCTCTAATCAGAAAAGCAAAAGTGCTCAGGGAAAATAATATTTCGCTTAAAGACATTTCCTCGTGCAAGCATTCCAGACATCTAGAGCGCTGCAGCTCTGAAATAAAACTGCTCTTGCAAGAAATGTAACTCAGAACATTAGACTTTTCATACATTCGCTCGAAGAGAAAGTAATTAGCTGAATGAGTTACAGCCATGAAACATTTTTAAATCCCATATATCTACGTTCTTTGAACTCGGGTCGTCAGTGACTCTTGATAAACGTTCAATTAACATCGCAGCACTAGTGGTGTCCACTCCACCTAAGGAATAAATCTCCGCAATCAAACACGAATCTTAGTCCCAATCTTATTTACGACAGTTATAATTAATTTAATCTAGAAAATTGCATATAGAAAGTATTCCGTACGCTAATGGCTCAGAACATATGGACAGAACTCTGTTCTTGTCCTCGACCTCTGCCACTACAACACCATAGCAATGAGAATTATCCAATACATCGCAGTGCTCAAGTTACTGGATCCTGAACTTCCGGAGAATATTAAGCCAAATTATATATAATATATTAATATATATTAATATGTGTCATAACATAATGTTCTTTGCCTCGACATTCCCCTTTTCGCCGAAAGAAGGCCGCTAATAGGCGGGCGACCATGGCTTCTATGCATTCGTTACTAAAGCGTATCTTGAAATACTCGTACATACTCTGATGCTTGAACTGCTCAGAGAGCTCTAAAGCATAGTAGTACAATTATTCAAAGTCTCGGGTTCAAATAAAATGAAGGCGGAAGGTACTGATGTGCAAAGCATCACAATAAAGACGTCATCAGTCTCGAAGGTTTTCGTCGAGGCTATGGAAGGGACCTTCCTTATTCTTAGTCACAATTACAGTTATAAAGTTAAGGTCATGAACGCAACTGGACGGTCGACTTTTACATTTCTTTGCAAATTACACCTAAAAGTAACATGCTCGATTTTTGGAGATTATTGAAAACATTGTTTGAGCACTCGCTTCGCACTTCTTGATACGGTTTTGTCTAGGAAGTAAGATTTTCAAAATATCTCGACTGTCTATATCTATTTCAAGTTATTTATAATTCTTTGTTACCAGCGAGGCGTGTTATGATGGCAACCGCTAATAACCTGAACAAAGATTTAGGGGAGAATTAATGAAAGGACGAAATAATGAGACGAGAATGGCGAAGTAAATTCGATTAATAGAAAATCTGAATATTTACTATTGCAACTCAAATACCAACAAACATAGTGATCGCCTCCATATTCTCGCCCATCCGCTTAGCAATCAGTAAATTTATTACTTTGTGTTTCCAGGCGAATCAACTGCTATAATCATTAATCATGTTGGTGTAGTACATGTTAAATCGCTGAAGTTAGTGTTTCTTCCCCTCTAGAATTTAAGATCCGGCTCCTACCAACACGTTGGCTTGTGGGTATCCCCTTCAGGTGTCTCCACCAATAAGGGACAGCTCCTGTCGGGACAAACTCTAAGCTTCAGGGGACTGGTCACCCGAATTGTGTGAAAGTGTAGAGCATTATGAAGTGGCTGTATGTATGTGTGTGTGTTGTGTGTGTGTGGTGGGTGTTGTGGTGTGTGTGGTGGTGAGAAAGTAGAGAGGAGAGAGAGAGAGAGAAGAGAGAGAGAGAGAGGAGAGAGAGAGGATTGCTGGGAGGGAGGGGGCAGAAGAGCATAGAGTGAAGAAGGAAATATCGCGCGCGCTCCGTGGCCGTTTGTTAAGGCACTGTTACGATATTCGCCTGATATTGATCGCAGTCCCTTCGGAAAACTACCGATCAGAGCAATTAGTCGCTAGAATTTTTAAGTCACCGGCTATGTAGCTATTGTCAAAAATCCACAACCATTCAGTGACATACCCATAACCGTCCCATTGTGTTAGGTGGCTCGGGTCATCACTGCAGTGCCTCTGACTGGGAGGTCCTAGAGTTCGAGGGCGGACGGTGGTAGGATTTTCGACACTAGCTAGGACGAATTCAGTCGCGGTCTGCAGGCAAGTTCTAACGGTCGGCTTTCCTGATCGTCAATTTTCCGTGATTTTTCTGATCACTACCAGGCGAATGCCGGAGCAATACCCTAACAAACAGACCACGGACATCTTTCCTTCCTGTCCTAGTTTCTGCCCTAGGGAGACCAGTCGGGAGCTTAGGGCGTGACCCAAGTAGGGCAGTGCCCCGCTGATGGGAGGTGCCTGATTGGGGGAAACCCCGCGAGTCAGCGTGTAGGTCGGCGCCGGGTCTCGCCATCGCTTTTAAAAGAAAATCACTACACATATGGGACTAATGACTTTAGCTGTTGACGGACCCGGAATCACTAATCAATCTATCAATTAACCGTCCCGGTCAGAGTAGCTGCAGTGTCAGCAGTTGTTGCGGTGAGCCAAAAAGTCATAACAGAAAGAGGAGACAATGTGCGCTTATCGGGCGGCAGATTACCCACTCGTTCAGTACGAGAGGTTGCTGTCGCCGCTGCCGCTGCCGTGAAGGCGGCGGCGGCGGCGGCTCGGTAGCTCACCCCCAGGCTCCGCGTCCGCGCCGGCCAGCTCGCGCTGCATCACCAGACCTGCGGGCAACAATGGCCAAGTAGCCCAGGGCAGGGAGGCCGTGGCAACGGGCGAGAAAAAGACCTTTGGCGTATGCAACGCACCTACCCGACGTTTTGTCTAGACACATTAAAAAATATGAAGTAAAAGGATCAGTTAAGAACGTTTACATGGTTTTCTTAAAATTATTAAGCTACTGTACAAATTTGTTACATAAAACTTAATGGAGGACAATCACACTTAAATTTACAAATTATCCTATTTCCTTAAATTTATTTCGAAATGCCGAATTCGATCTAGCTGTGACCATTTCAAAAATTACTAATATAGGTGATGGTCAGATCTGTGACTCAGTATGAGCCATTGGACATTCTTCGGGTTTGGGTGTCCAAAAAAGTACCAATTGCTACACTATTGCAAAGTTAATATTATTAATATATTTTCATTTTATTATTTTTATAAAAAATAAGGTAAAATAAATTATCTTCATTCTTTTCCTAGAAAGAATAAACTTTACTTTCTGTAGGTTTGAAGGAAGCGGGAAACCTCCAATTTTAATTTTAATTTTTTTTGAAGTGTCCACTACTGGCCACTTATTATATTAGTTAAATATGCAAATTATTGATTTGCACATTTGTCCAGAATATGTTTGTCAATTTTTTACTGAATTATTTTTAATAATAACTTATTAATATCATTTTATTTTTAATACTTCAGTGTACAAGATGATTTATTAAAAAAGGAAATACTTCTTACATAATATTCCTCTCTAAATCTTGAAAATAAAACTTGTACATAATAAGATCTGATTGAGAAAATATGTCACCCATAAAATGTGAAACAGAAAATTACGACATTTTATATCACTTCCCAGTATTGCGTAATAAAAGTTTAAACTGATCACAAAAGACTTACACAAAGGGAAAAGCTCATGTAGGACAAACATTTTTTTACACTTTTCATTAACATGATATCGATTTCGAATGTATTTCTATTTGGTTGTGGTTCACTCTGCATATTACACACCAATTTTTCTACCCCACTTACTTCGATATCGGTCAATGCGCTTTCCGAAGTCTGCTGCGAGTGGATGCGGCTCTGAAACATTTGAGAGAAAAGAATCAACATTAATTTGCCGTGTATCACTGAAGATTTTTTGTTAGCCTGAGCATAATAATACATTTTCCATGTACAGTTCTTGTAATTAAATGTTGACCTGTCTGCATTTCATTCATAATTCAACTCGACTACAAAGGATGTCCAGTTGTCCCCGCACTAAAGACAACACTGTTTGCACCTTCGAATTACAAACAAGAATATATAAAATGTTTGTACTATTAATCAAAATGCATAACACAATTACATTCTTCCAAGAAATAGTAGCCCCAGTACTTCATCCAGTACTGTACCGAGCTAGAACTATTATATTTGATGGAGTGATGTACGCTAATTGATAAGCGTTATGCCGCTCCAGTAGGCAGCCTGCGCTCTTATCATTGAGGTTAATCGTCGCAAACCTGTGGGCGCTAACCCCGCTGCGTTTCCGCGACCTCGCAGAAGTCAGAAGATACAGACACCACTGTCGGGTACAGCGACTGATAGTACAGTCAGCAAACAAAATACATTGTTTCGTCGCGCAGCCGACAACAGATCTATAATATTAATTTCGATTTTACACGTAAACTAATCATTTTCCGTCTATATGAGGGGTGTCTATGGTTGCTGGATACCCAGAAAATCTGTAAAAATAAGAAAAAGTGTTTTTTTTTATTTTCACTGGAAAATGTAAATGTTTAATTGTGTTAATCCGCCTATTCAAGTACTGTCCGATCCGACTGAATTCTCACACTCAGTGCGTCACTTCTTACGACTCAAATGGCATTATTTGATAGCAAAACTTCAATATTAAGACCGTATGTCACTTGCTATTCACCTAATGTGTTATGAAACGCAACTATTTTTTATATTTTTGGTACTTAAAGAATTGTTCTGCTGTGTATATCACACTTTTCTATAGTGTTGCAGTATTTTTGAAGACGTTTTATGTTTAAATATTAATTTGTTGCTTTGTTATACGAGACTGTGAATGTGTTGAATGTTGCGAAGCGCAGAAAACATAATAGGAGGCGGAATGCTGCTCCTTGCAACATGTCTAGTTTGCGTAGAAGGCTTATACAGGAGCATTGCAAAACATTTGCAACTCGTAATCTAGTATGTCAAATTTTATAATATTTGGTAATGCCGGTGTGCAGATATCACAACCTTGTACCCTTTTTCTAAGTCTAAGATGTCTGGACACCCTCTGTGTTAAAAAGGAAGGGGTACAGACTCCGGAGTTTAAGAAATGTCCAGGTAGTAACAAACTGGCAGTTCTGTCATCATTCCCATTTATCATAAAGTGTAGATCCTAAGCAGCCTCACTAATTTCGCAAGATGAATAGGGTGATACAATTAAAGTAGTGATCTTTTCAAATTTAACTCTATTCAACAATAACACACGATAATTATAACAGATAATAATTATTTATCTTCAGGCGTTTTCGACACATTGTAGGCGTAATTCTTAAACTTAATTGATAAAGTTATATTATCTTAAGAATTTACAAATAAATCACAATAGAAATTTCGAACGCAAGGCTTCTTTTTCATTTCAAATGTTTCATATAATAATATCACATTATCTCATGAAATAATAATCGTTCACAATGACCTGTAAATTGCACTCTAGATGGCGAGAAAGAGGTTGGTATTATTAAATCAAATATATGACACACGCATTTAACTAGTACATAAAAAATAAAATAACAATGATGTGCCAAATTTAACGTAAAGTATTTTGTTGTGTAAGTGTTGTACTTTGAAGGTCTTCACTTTTCCACATAGATGTTCAAGGTCTTTTTTTCAAACATTTACATTCCTTGCTAAATCATTACATGAATCGCTACTTTCAATCATTCAAATTTTGAGAATTAAAAGCGGGACAAATTATGACCTATTGAAGAAATGTTGGCGAATCTGAATATCCACTTTGTAAACGATCTCAATTCGTAAACGATTACAGTGTTTTGTCATAAACTGCAAAATCTAATGCATTTTATCACCGATCTTCACTAGAGCTGATTATCGCAATTTTTTGCCAGGTACAAAGTCATATTTCCAAAGTTCCAAACATCTTACTTGACAAAACGTTCTCTTAATACTTACCATATGGATCTCCAGACTGTCGGGCAACAGGAGTACGGTAGAAATCTGAAAAAAGGAGTCGGATTAATGTTTTCTGACAGTAATTCTACAAAAAGTAAGAAGGTTGGAATGAATGTGGAAAATAAGATAATAAAATGATAAAGAGGTAAGACGATGTTCGAAATATTGAAGGATAGAAAGAAAGAAAAAGTGAGATAGTAAGTTAAAAAATGTAAATAGTAAGATTATGAATTAAAACTACAAATAAAGTCGTATTAATAGAAATAAATGTTCAAAAATTTATTACATAGTTCCGATGTTTTATTTGAAATAAAAAATGTATGTGTTAGAATGCTCTGCACTGGGAAAGAAGTTGGTAAAAGGCAGTATATATTTTATTGTCAGTGGACTGGAGCAATTTTGTTAGGAGAAAGAAAGGAGCATAAAAAATTTGGATAAATTCATTTTACAATGAAGGGCACATTTTGCTTGAGAAACATATTTCTGGGACTGAAATACTTTTCCACAGTTCCTAATCTCGAGTCTGTTAATTCACTTGCACCACCAAGTACCTATAGGGATGGTTGAGGGATCTTTTGGAAGCGTGAGGGGCAGGCCATAAATTGCCCTTCCTTACGGCCCGGCGAGAAGACAAGTAGTCTTTTCCAACATTTTGTATCAATTGTGAAACATCTAGACATCCTATAGAGGTGTTTGAGGACCCATTAAAATCTTGGGAGCCTCGTTTCTCTAAAAAACCTTATTTTGTTGAACAAAGAGATTTCATCTGTTCAACTTCACTTTTAACATATTCATTTATTTCCCAATTTAAAACGTAGGCCTATGTTTAATAAGTAGTTAATTTTCATTTCAGTATTTCATTGAAAATAATGTTCAATAAAAGAAAGTTTTCATTAATTGTTCGTGTGTCGTGTTTTGTTTCCCTTCTCCACAGAACACCCCTAGAGCCGCTGTAACATAACTGCGTTGGACAGTTGGAGCTGGCAGAGGTGATGAAAGAGTGATGGAGCGAGCACTCACACACGACTCGCGGCACCGGCTCGATGGGCTCGGGTTCCTCCGGGGCGCCCTCTTCGCCCTTCCCCCGCAGGCGGTCTGCAACACGAGCACGTCGGCTCATCACACACAGCGCGGTGAGCGAGCCACACAGTATACAATGTGACATAGCGTCGTTGATGGTAGACAACCTCCAAAATTTTACAGATGGAAGGAAAAACCCTTTTTGATGTTACTGTAGTATAGTTGGCTAAGTTTAGGCATTCTACACTTTTTATACAATACCATTAAATATTTATTTACTATAATATTTTTCTGAAAGCATCTTGCGAAAATCTCACATGTGTATCTTGCCACATTCGAGATATTCTAATATCAAAAAGATATAAAGGTCATCCAGGAGTAATTTTTGTTTTTTCTATTTTAAGACCACAATTTCAGCTTTTCTTTGGAAATTTTCTTATCAAACTACCTAACAAGTAAATTCTGAATCATTGATTCAAAAATCGCCAACCCCGTCACTTAGAAAGTTGTCCATCATCAACGACCAGATACTATCAAAATTAGAAGATATCCGGTGTATTTATACTTTTCTATAAAGCTTTGAAGAAAATAAGAGCAGTATTTTCAGTTAAATGTATTCTATCTACTGAATTTATGTAAATGAATTAATTAGAGGAGAAAGACGTCTAGGAAACTTGATATTTCATGGACTCGTATATAATTAAATGGAATTAAGCGGTCTGGTTTCTTTTGAGCTTTCTTCCCACATAATATTTCTCTCCCCAAAAAAAGTTTACATTATTGCTGCAAAATGTAATTGGGCCACCATTTTAGAAATATGTTGCTGAATAGCTATTAATTCTAACACATGTATAGGTGATACTGAGTGAAGATACTGATAAAATGTTTGTAATATGTACAATTCAACGTTTCTTAGGAAATGTTCGAAGTGGAAGTTATAACTGCTCTAACTTGCAATCATCACGAAAGTGTGTAACCTACAGTCAAAAAGAAATTATTCTGTACTGAACAGACTGATCATCATCATCATCATCATCATGAGGGTTGTGGGTTTTAAATCACGATCGATTCTGTGAATTGTGTTGGGGACAAAGAGGATTCTCTGCAGGGGATTTCTGAGTTCTTTTTGCCCCCTGCCTCTCATTCCGCCACGGCTCTATCATTAACATCAATTCATCAAAATTATGAAACCATGAAAATTGGAATCTCGTTCTACCTGAAATCAAGCCCGGAATATAATGTATGAACTATATTACAGCAAATCTGTCAGCTGTCTACTCATCGTGACAACCCTCGAACGGGCAGGGCCTACCAGCAGCGTCACGGCCTCGCGGCCATGGGATTAAGGGGTACGTGTGGTTAGCTCGAAGACATCCCTACGTCGTTCTCAATCTGAGAAGTGAGTTTTCTCATCGTCCCAAAGAAATATATACTGGGACATTTCAAGGAAAGCGCACAGTATAATCTTGCCCGACCGGGAATTGAACCCGTGGTCGCGTTATGGAAAGTGACCACGCTAACCAATTTGCTAAACCAGAAGGGAATTATAGTAAATGCTATCACAAAATATTTATAACTTATCATTAGAAAGATAAAAATGTCATATTATGCAACTTGTTTATGATATTCTACTTTTGGGCATGAATAATGCTAATAATTAAATAAACGTGCGGCGCTAGGAACAAGTTGGGTAATTCTAATAAGAGCAAAAGGTTCGTTTAAAAATGTTTCTATAACAAATCGGAATTTGATTCATTACTACTCTTCATGATTATCGATATGATCTTCGTTTGACCAATTAGAGCGGGAAAGTATATTTAAACGGTGAAGTGATGTTCTTCAAATGTGTTTCAGAACTTTTAACTTCAATATGATAGATCTGTAAGATACTCCATACTCCAGAGAATTACCAAACGAGAATTGTAAGATGATGTTGCGGTATGAAAAATATACACCGTTTTATGCACTATGTAAAAATTCTAACGAACTATTATTTTCATATGAACTCAATAATTCATTCTGAAAAACGCGACAGAACTGTCGATATAGTTTGGGTTGTATTAATGAACTGTAGAGCGTGTGTGTGAACAATTTTCCTATCCTTACGAAACTGACCATTGTTGTTAATTGTGGACCATGGATTATTAAAACATGTGTTTTAATAACTCTTTCGAAAGCGACCTCGCTTTCGCAAAGTTTGACTTCAAATGGGCGAAGTGGATAAAGTAAAGAGAGTGGGCGCACCTTTGAAGAGGTTGAAGCCGTCGCCGGCCCCAGCGAGCGCAGCGCCGGAGCACAAGAGCAGCACCAGCAGCAGCGACGACATGGCGGAGGCGCAGCGTGGGCGGCGGGTGGGGCGGCTGCTACTGGCCGGTCGCGCCGGCTTCCGCCTCTTATAGAGCGCGGCCCCGCCTTCGGCTGCTCCTCCGCCGCCTCCCGCCACGCGCCCCTGCGCCCGCGCGGCGCTGCGCGTCACCCCACGCTCCGCCCCCTCCCCTGCCCACAGGGACCGCGACGAGGCGCTTCGTGCCAGAGCTCAAATGCAAACATCCACTCCCATGAAAACGTTTGAAAGCCAATATTACACAATAAAAATTGACCTGCGAAAACATGTCAACCGATTAGCCCATTGATTGAAAGCTTAGTAATTCCGGAAGTGTCAACTGCAAGTTTTTCCTCGGGAGGGGATGGTGATTTCTCCGCTGGATGGTGAGATCCTATGTCGACCTATCCGTCAGCTTGCGGGGTTTTCCCTGACCAGGTATCTCCCACCAGTCGGCCACCACTTCATCTAGGACAAGCTCTACACTACTGTCTGGTCTCCCTACGTATGTGATGATAGTGTCGTGTAACTAGGGGTAAGGATATGAGAAGGAACAGGAAGGAATGATCTCACACGGTATGTGAGTTATATTACTGCTCTGGTATTCACATGGTGTGGATAGGAGTACACACAGAAAACTACCGATCAGAGCAGTCGGCTGCTGGAAGTCTCCTCGAGACAGCGGCGGCTGCATTTGACCTAGTTATGTAGCTTCTGGTGAAAATTCTGCCATCGTCGGGATTCAAACCCTAGGGCCTTCCGGTAAGAGGTACTGCAACAACATGAATTGATGCCCTGAGACACCTAAGGTTATGCGATTTTTACTCAAACTAACGATGCGTCGTGAAATTGGGATGGCGCGGAATATAACAAAGGGCAGATCTCAGCTTAAAATAATCTATTTATAAAAATTTCGGACTTATAAAAAATATAAAAAATGAACATGGGACATAAACGAAGTAAATTAGTAAATGTGAAAATAATTCGCACAAATTAAGAGGGAGAAAAACGAAGGGTTTCTTGGCCCACCGGAACTTTTCCTCCTTTTAAACTAATGGGAACTCACAAATTTCAGTATGGTAATTATTTGATAAAAATGTAAAAACGTACTTTGCGCCGTACCAAACTTGAAAGTGAATGGATTTTAAGACACACGTGATTGCGCCGACAGTGGTTTCCTAGTGACACGCAATAGCAGCATCTTTTCAATTGGCGTAACCTTTCCTTGTCACAAACTACGAATGAAAAGAGGTTAGAGCGTCGTACCAGCTAAGCGTTTCTACCATGTATTTATAATGCTCAACATCAAACCTTCACGTCACTAGGAGTATCCAGTCAGTGTAGATATTTGATTAGATGTATTACTAATTCTGCAATTAAGTTTGAGAACTTGGTTACAGTAATGGACTGACAAATATCGGAAGCACAGGATTTAAGACTGGTATTTGCTCTAAATTGTCAGCGAAGGATCATCCAGCGCTCGCGTGACTCGAGCAGTAAAGCGTAGGAGAGCTACCTCTACCCAACTGTCAAGTACAAGTTATGAAGACTGGTAGAGAACGATAGTATTGTAAACACGATAGTATTGTGAACTTGTCTGACAGCCAAATTCACTGCCCCTGAACCAAATTCACTAGCGTAAGATAAAAGAAGACTTTTACTGTTTATAGCACTTTTCATGTTAAAAAGGCTTATTTCCCAATCAAATGCGCAAGTTCTTCTAATCTGACCGAGTTATGAATGACACACACATTCACACACATCCATTTTATTTGTTTTATGGGTAATTATGTAAACCATTTTCATTCGTGTCAGAGACTCTCAAAACGAGTTTATCCTGTGTCAGGAGGAGTGCGCTTCGTAATGAGCCGATGGAACCCTTTGTGAGAGCCATCAAATCTCTCTACCCGTCACAAAGTTCAAGAGCTGCGAAAGACTAAGAGCTACCAGCGTCAAGAGTCAATGGGCTTACGAGCGTCTGCGGTGTTACGTAGTGGAGTTTAGGGTTTTCGGCGTTAAAGGCAGTGGAATGATAACCTGAATGATGAACTACCTGAGGGCAGTTGGGCGTTAAAATGTCGGTTAATGACGGTGATGATGAATTGAGGACAAAGCAGAGGACGCAGAGAAAGTGGAGGGCGCGTTCCTGTGGGCGCGGGGCGTGTGGGCGGAGGCGATTGTGGGGCGCACAAAAGGGCGTGCTTTGCGTCACGGGCAGATGCCCTCCCGCAGCGGCCCACCGCCGCTCCCGCCTCTGACGCACCAACTGACGCCCGCAGACGGCTCCTCCCGCGTACAAAAGCAACATTTGTATCGCTGCACACAAAGCTGCTGCCCACACAGTACTGCTCAATCCAGCGTACTACATTTCAGAGGCTATTCTCGTGACGTACGAATCACAATTTTACAAAAAGAGAGATCTCCAGTTATTCTAACATTTTTACTTCTTCTTATTGGCTACATTCAAACGCGAACATCCCGAGTTTTATGAAATCATCTTGCAGCCAAAATTTTGAAAGTATGATCCTGTCTCTGCAGTGATTCTGACTGAGAGGTATTAGGGTCCCGACAGTGGCAGATTTTCGACACTAGCTATATAGATAGCTATGTCGAACTCAGGCGCCGCTGTCTGGAGGATAATTCTAGATGTTTTCGGTGTTTCTCCCAACCTATACGGCACATTCCGGAGAAGTAACCTAAGAAACAGGTCACAGAGTGCACACGATCATTCATTTCTCTCCTACTATCCTTTCCCCCCTTTACACACACACACTTACATGCACCATTCCACTACTCATATCGGGGGACCAGTCCGGAAGACTATTCGGAAACTCGTCTAGTCCCGGCTGGAGCAGTAACCGCTGCAGGAGATACCTTTCTACATACCACCAAATATTAGGATTGATCGATAATATTATTGAAATATTCCATGGCGACGAACGTACAGCAACAGTATCCCTTGACATTGAAAAAGCGTTTGTATTCAAGCTTCAGAAAATTGCCCCTTTTCAGTATTTAACACGCATAATATAAAGTTTCATTGTGATGCCTAGCGTGATACCTGGTTGCGAAGGTGCCTCTTCCCGGAGCACTCTCAACGCCATATCCCATCAAATCAGGAGTTCCTCAGTGCTCGAACCTCCCTCTGAACTTTATTATGTACATCGTCGACGTACACACCACACCATCAACATCCGTTGCCACCTTTGCAGATTGGGCACAAAATGGCAAATTTAGATAAACACAAGCAAGAGTCGAGGAAAAATATTCACTCTTCGAAGACCACTCGACCAACCCACACTCATAACGAAACTTTTTATGAAATCTATAACATCCCTATCCAAAGTAACAGCCTTGGTGGGATAGCTCACTTTCTGGTGGGGTAGCTCACAAAAAGAAATTAGCAGGTGACCAAAAACCTGGCGAAGTTAAAATGAGGTAATACATACACAAACATGTGTGGTAATACATAAATAAATTATGGTAATACATACCCAAACATTTGTGGGTTACGGACGCGAATTGTGTTGTTCTTTGATTTGATTGTTTCTTGTTGGTCAAGGAATGGAGTTGACTCAGGAACGTTTTCAGATGATGATTTTATATGATTTCCGGCGTATTAAATCAACAACAGAACATTGATAAACTTGTTTCGTGTTTTGGTGATAATCGAAAAAAAACTTAATATCAATGGTTTAGTGAATTCACTTGTGGCCTTTAGTCGTTCACAGACGAATTTAAAGAAAGTCATCGAAAATCATTTGTTGTGCTCGAAAACATCACTGCTGTGCACGAGCTTTATTGTACAAGATCGCCCTATAACATATCGCGAGGTGCGGCCATCCTTGGGCATTTGTATGACGAGCATGCATATGCTTCTCCATGGAAATTTAACCGTGAGAAAAATTTGTGCACGTTGGTTACCGTACAATTTTACAGTCAGGCTCGCGTCGAAGACAGTCTGCTTGAAAACAGGCTCGTGTTGATTGCAGAAAAGAAATTTTTAAAAAAATCGTCAAAAGCCGTCTGCAACATTAACACAGGTGAATAATCTTGGGTCAATGCATACCAGCCCGAAAGTAAACTGCAGTCGATTGTTTTGGCTTTTCAACATGTGTCAAACCCAACCAGTTGTTCGCGCAAGAAGTACTTCGAAGAAAATGATTGTTTTATAATTTTTTTTAAATAAGTGGTCCATTGGCTACAGTGCCACTATATAAGTTTAAAATAGTCAATTCTGAGTGGTTCACAACGGTATTTTTGCTAGGAGTTGTTGAACAAATCAGAAGAAACACCAACGACGTTGAATCGTTCTGCATCATGACAATGTAAGCTCGCACTCAGCGACCCAAACAATTCAATATTTGAACAAGCAAAACATCGAACTAATGGGTCATCAACCATACAGACTCGATTTGGCACCCATTTATATCTTTTTGTTCCTTTCGTGAAGAATAAACTACGTGGTCAACGTTTTTCCACGACAGAAGAAACTGTCGATTCGTTCAAAGTGCATATTTTGAGGATACCTCAATCGGAATGGAAAATGTGCTACGAAAATTGGTTCAAACGTACGCAAAAATGAATTGATAATCGCAGAGAATATTTTAAATACAATAAAACCATTTCAAACGATATATCATAGTTTCTATTTGCTATTCCGGATCGAGCAACTCGCGTACCTAACAGTATTTTATAGTGAGCAAATATCATACATAAATTTGCCATAGAAGATCACATCAGTAATATCCCCTACTTAAAAAATCATTCATTCATTACACATTTCCATTCATCTCTACCAAACAATAATAGAACCAATATTATGCTAAGCAACTTCAGACTGGGCCAAAGCATCCAAAACCAATATTTGCAAAATCCAAATATAAATAGTTCCAAATACTATTTATTACTTAAGTACCAATAGTTCCAAAATAAATTCCTAAGATTAATCACAAATTCCCTCTGGTTTATCCCAGCCTCCCAACTCCATCAAGAACTCGGTATCATCGCCATCATTGCATATTTATCCCTTCAATTCGCCAAATTCTGTAGCAAAATACCGTCAGCTACCCATTTCACACTCGGTAAAAAGAATCCTCAACGGAAACGTTTGAAAATGAAACTGCCCAGATATTCTTTAGACCCTCCTTAAGCAGACAGGAAACGATTAGCTTTTTTCGTATAATGTAATTATGCTCAAATGAAATAACCGCAATAATAATAATAATAATAATAATAATAATAATAATAATGTAAACCTGATCTACAAAAATCAACCACTGATACAGTCGTACACGGCTCCTGAGGGCTACAGGCCAAGCAGATATAAATACAAAAAACTAATTTAAATAAGAATCGAATTGTAAAGTTCGTAGAGAAAAATATGAATTCTACAAAACTGAACCTAATTCACGTCGATGAGGAAAGTAAAACAATTCCAGGTTAGAAATTTGTATCTAAATAATATATTTATTTTATTAATTATTCATTTCGTATACAAATACCTAATCATAGTAGCAGTGTGCTCCGTACCACTTTTTCAATTACTCGGGCTAGTTCCTAGTTGATGCCAATAAAAAATGATAAGTTGTGGTAACCACCGTGTATTACACAGAAGGCCTTCAAGACGTCTTACTAAACTTAATGCAAACAAAATGGCTCTAAGGAGATCCCTTCCCTTCACTCAAAAGCATTTACGCGCTGTAAACCAAAAATTATAGGGATTCCCATCGTTGAACTTAAATATCACAGTCTACTTCCTCACGGAAGCAAAGTGGCATACCAATACGTTTTGCGCACTCAAAATCCGCAATAAATTTTCAACTGTATGAATTATGCAGTAAGATAGTACTAATTATGCAATTAATTATCAAAATACACTCATTCTCTCTCCCAATTATTCGCCCTCTCACACTCTCAATAACTCTCACTCACTCTCTTTCGCTCATTCTCTTTTCTGCTCGTCCTTTCTTTCGCACACTCACTCTCACTCCATTGCAACTACTTTTATCTTCGAAAGAGGTGTGATTCAAATCCATCGGATGAAAGAACTCGAAAGAAAATACGTATTACAACCGAGTCGAAAGTAACTCCATAAGACTTTTATTTATGTTTTCTTGCATCTAAAACAGTCTAATAATACTAACAATTATCAGTGTTATTTCAATAGTCAAGAATATTGTTAAAATTATAGTCAATTATTATTTCATTTGTGTTTCGAAAAAATAATTTTCTAAGATATATGAATTTAGAAGAATGCAATTTTCATTTTTTTTTTTTTTTGCATTCTGTGTATTTCTTTTCCCTATTCCCTCTTTTTTATTTGTACATCACTATGTACTCTAATTTATTTGTACATCACAATGTACTCTAATTGCTACTACACACATATTTGTGGGTCACAAACGGATATGGAAGTAATAATACTCTGTTGACTGCGTCCATTGCAGCAACCGTGGCAATGGACGCCGCTCGAGGCATATGTACGTCGCAATTGTGTCGTATTCTGCCCTTTGACATTTGTTTTTTCCCTTTTTAGTTCCGTCTACAACGATGTCAGAAACACAAGGCATTACAGCATTTCCTTTGTAAGAAATCTCTACCATGTTCAATGTCATTTAATTTTTTAGGTCAGCTGTTTTTCAAAACGTTTCTCTTCCTAAAGAGTTCTCAACATTCTTATGACATGAAGAAAAAGGCCATCCACTTATTAACCATGAAATTTTGTTGGCGGAAGAGATGTTTTCGATAATTTAGTTTTATTTTGTTGAGAACATTTTTCAGTTTGTTGTACTCTCTTGACAACAATGTAATGAATTGAGTTTCAAACATCTTTATTTTTTCGAATTTCAACATTTTAAATGAAAAAGTATTTCCGTAGTTGAATTTTTAGCACTACATGGTTTCTTTGTACTAACAAAGAAATCACTAGCTATACAATTTAAAACGCATTAAATTTAATTCAGAGATAGAGTATATTTAGTAAAACATTTTACTCAGTCCTTTTGCTTTTGATTCAATCAGGGCTGTGGGTGTGGCGGTATTGCGACAAATATCCTAAACATACAGCGCTTTAACAGTTAAAACAAAATACGAATAAAACAATTCACCAGAGTTGATGACACTGGAGTCAGATTGTTTCTCCAGTGCCTGATAGTCTTGTGGATTGTTAGCCAGAGATTTATTGTCTGAGCGGGTGAGCTGATGGTAGTATCCCGTCGCTAGTTTTTCGATCCATTGGAAGCGACTGCGGTCGAAAGGCATACCAAACCCTGCATTGGAGAGGAGGTGACGTACCGTTCTGTCGCCGCGCCGGCGTGAGGCCTCAGCAGAGGAAGGGAACGATTCAACTTTTGGTATTCCCCGACAACTTTTGCGGGGGAGGTTGGAAAAACTCATCCAAAGAAAAACGAGGGGGCACCGCGTCGATCGTGCTCTTCAATGGATTGATTAATTGATTACTAGAAGAAGAAAGTTTAAAGAAGTGATTCCAGTGGTAAGGTTATTACTTTCCTAAGTGTACGACATGTTTTTGCTTGGGAGGTAGTGTTTGTCTTGCCGCAGTGGGTGGCGATATCTGGCGACGACCTACCGTCGGATAGCGAGTTTTCCCAAACCAAATATCTCCCACCAGCGCGCCACCGCCCGAGATGTTTCATCCTACTTACTGTGGTCGCCAAACAGTATGTGCCCAATGAGCCAGAACTCCTCTCTATGCTTCCATCCGGTCTCTCGTCATGCGTGGTAGGGTGGAGCATGTAAATGTGTTCGTTAAGTAAAGGATAGAATAGGAAAAGGAATGGGAAGGAAAGATCGCGCGTGGTCCGTGGCATGTTTGATAGAATACTGCTTCAGCATTCGCCTGGTATTGATCGGAGAAATCATGAAAAACTACCGATCAGAGCAACCGGCCGCCAGAATTCTTCTCCACAGTGGCTGAATAACTAGTGTCGCTTTATACCCAGCTTTATAACTCGTGTCGAAAATCCTGCCACAGTCGGGAGTCAAACTCTAGGACCTCCCGGTCAGCACTGCAGTGACATCATGTGATGCCCTGAGTTCTCCAATGGAGGCAGTAATGGGGATTACAATGCACTGGATGCTAATGAAGTCCTACACCCAAGACCCCATGAACCGCCCGCCTTGGGAACGCTAGCACCCGTTCATTCATTATTAAAAGCCGACCTTTTCGCGTTCACTGGCGAGGAAAATTCAAATCTTTTATAATAAACATACAATACGAACCTGATTTCATTTACTTACTCAATAATTGTTTGAGGGAACGTATGTGACGTTAGCGGAGGGCATTGGCGTGTCGTTCTCGACCAGCAGGCGAGGGTAGACAGCCACGTACTGGAGCTGCTTCAGGTCCATGTCCAGGAGAGCTGCTTGGTCTCGTGTGCCGCTGTACACTTTCTGCCGCAACTTCCCGTTCACGAAAATCTATTACAGATTCAAAGAGTTCAGTTAGGAAGCTTCACCTGCAATGGATTTGCGATGAACTTGAAGAACATATGTATAAACGTTGAATGTTTAAACGTTGAGTTGATAAGCTAAGACAGCAAACGGATTGTAAAAACCTTCTGAACCTAACAGATGACGTCCTCAGTGTAATTTGATGTTCCGTTAAATTGTGAAATTTTGCAAGTGTCTCCATAGCGTTTCACCTCTACATTTCTATCAACCGTTGAATACTTCAAATTCATTGTCATAAAAAACACTTATAATATACGAAATGCTAGTGTATTCATGAAAATTGTTGCAATACGTATTCATTTATTTGTTTACAGAAACACCGACTAGAGAACTCGTTAATATTAAGGAATTAATGTTTGTTTAAAAAAGTGTTGCAAAGGTACGCCATACCCCCATTTCTTTAACCTAGAACAAAGAAATAATAAATCATTGAACACAATAAGATCATGAAAATCATACATTTTTACTTTCCCGCATACGTTCGTATATACGGAATATTATTCGTAGTGTAATATAAGAATATATAATATAATATAGGGAAAGTTATGTAATGCTGCAGAAAATCGATTTCGTGATTTCAACGGAAATACTAGCTTTGGGATCCCCTGATACCGAAAAAGATTTTTTTTTTTTCAAAACGTTCGTCTCTCCGTGAACAACAACTAGCGCCTAAACCATACGTAGGATTTTTTCCGAATGAAGTCCATCAGGCATAAGTCGAAACTTTGAGATTTTGAAAAAAATTCTTTAAAATGTTTGAGTACTTTACATGCTAATCAAAATCACATCAAAATTTTCCCAAAAATGGCTCCAAATTTTTTTCTTTAACTTTCTTTTAGAAATGGGAAAAATACAATTATAATGATGGAATATGTCCGATTGTCAGGTTTAAATCTAAATTTTCGATAAATTTCAAAATTCCAAAATTCTAAAATTTTTCGTGCGTTTTTCTACACCAAGAAAATTGAAGATAGAGATTTTTCCTTCAAATAAAATTTGTTCTCGATAGTGTGATCTTTCATTAAGGTCATTTACATTTTTTTAAAAATATTAATAGTTTTCGCGAAATAATGCGAATAAAAAATATGTGTAATTTTAAAAAATTACAGAAACAAAATTTTTTCAAACTGTTCTAAATGTTTTCTTTAAACTTTTTGCAGAGATAGTGCTAAATGTACTCTATAAGATGACATAAACACCATATTAGTCTATTCTTTTGTTTTAAAAAAGTACAAAAATGTAATTGTTTTGGCTTGTATCTCACCTCATTAATATTTTTACTAGCGGAAATTTGTTTCAATTATTGTATTTATGAGTACATGTGTATGAGAACAGCTCCAATTTTTTCTTCAAACCTTTTGAATGGATAGTGATAATTGCACTCTTTAATAGAATGTAAAGGTGATTTCGGGTTATTTTTGTTTTTTCTAAAATTACACAATTATACTTTTATTTGCAATATATCTCATGCTGAAAATAAGCACATTTCTAGCAATGTGTAAACGCTATTTTATTTGTGAGTTAAAGTAATTCAAATAACTTCAAATGAAGTTTTTTGAAAACTCAAAAAATTTCTGTGAAAAAGAGCTTCAAATATTTAATTAACAGTAGAGCTTAAACGCTATTTTCTTAAAAACGGCTACAAATTTTGCAAAAAAAATAGCAATTTAAGGCGAGGTTTTACTGGCTGAGTACACCACATGTTAGAGGATTTTTTTTCTACATTTAGCAACTATATTTAACTATTTTTTTCTTACCAAGCCCCGGCAATAAGAGTTTTTGTAGCGAAAATTCGCCGTTTTCCGGCGCACGATTACAATACTTTCTTTTCTTGCATTAATAAAAGCGACCGTATTACCGGACGCTAGATTTGAAATTCACGATTAAGAATCCTCGTCATCTTCATAAACGTTGACGAAGGATCTCTCAGTATTGTTTTAGAAGAGCTTTCCAGACATCATTTAATATTTTCTTGCACATTAATGTCACTGTGATACAAGTTTTGTTTACATTCACAAAGATTTAACAAAAATGTACCACGAATATCACAGGACATCATAAAATGGATATTTTTGTATCATACAAATGCGATTATCAGAAACGGACATATTTTATTATATCCATACGGAAGATCAAGTTGTAAAATCTTTTATGAAATCACGAAATTGGTATTGTCGATATGTTATATACTTTGTAATGTTGTGTGAAGGGCAGATTTTCTGATTAAACCCTCTTCAATTCACTCCTACCTCGTAGCCTATGGCGCCCTCCACGAGGGGCCAGCGCAGCAATAGGCTCTGGCTGTCCACAATGCGCAGCTCCGCCTGCGCCGGCATCTCGGCCGAAGCGGCTGCCTCCAATGCCTCAGCATCACCCTCGTCGCGCAGGCACTCTAAAACCACCACAGAATCCACACTCACATCTACAGGATCGTACGTCTAGCCTGGTCATGAACTCTGAAAAATAGATAACGTATCTGTTCTTCAGAAACACACTGAATCATTAATACGTTTATATGTTTTGATAAGATTTGAATTCATAAAATCATACATGTTTCATAGTCAACGCCCAATTGATTGGCCAACAGCGTCACACTTTTTGAAGTCTTGTGCATATTTTCATTCATAATATTACATAGACACAAAAAAGATGACAGATCCAAAGATTTGACGCGTCGTTCTCCATGTATGTCGACGTGCTGAATCCAAACAGAAAGCAGAGTTACGCCACCACCCTCCAGTTTTTTTTTTTAAACTCGCGAGTAACTGGAAGGATGCGGCGCAATTTTGGCTTAAGATTGGGATTCAGCGCGTTAATATACACAGAAAAACCTGTTTCAAATCTTTGGGTGTGACATTTTTTTTATTTTATTTTGGGTGCCTGTGTTATTAGTGTTTCTTAGAACCCAGTAGATCCCCAAACAGCTTAATACTTTTTGCGAATTTGCGCTTAACGCGAATCTCGTAATAAACTCCAGACAAAATATACGCATGTTAATATAACAAGATATAAAGACATTAATTGTTTAATTAGTAAAGTATTTAATTAAAAGCACTTTGAATAAAATTGAATGTGATATTTTCCACTATACTTCTTTTGGGTTCCTTCATTTTTTGAAAAGAGCGCATTTTCTCGCTTGCAATACTGCTGAAAGAGAAAAGATAATTGAGAAAAATGTCATTACATTTTGCACGATCCTTTTCTTTACAAACTAATAGCCAACTTTTTACAAGCAGCGACGACAGCCAAAAACATCTTTCAACATGCCCCGTCTGAGGTGATATTTGTTTAACTTCATGTGGTTTTCTCTTCATACGTCACTCTACCTGTTCTTTTATTTACCTGTCGTATTGAGATAGGTCTTATTGCGAATGCGATTCCAGTGAATCAAAACGTCCAGATATATCTATCCCCTACAACCCTTTTCTCAACCTCCGCAACAGACTTTGGTGGCTCAGGGCTCCAATTGATGTCGCTGAAGCTGAAATTGATGTCGCTTAATTGATGTCGGAGAAGCCGAGGATCAGCGCCACCTCCCGCCAAAAACCGAGTTCTACTCTTACAGAACTAATGATCTTAGCAGTTGCCGCGCCCAGAATGACTAATCTATCAATCGGCCTACGGACGTGGGCAACGGCGGAGCGTCACCGGTGAAAGCGAATTCAGAGGTCTTTCTCTAACCTGAGTGATCGTGGGCGGATCTTCGCAGGTCAGGGGCGGCTCGGCGCCGGCGATGGCGTTTCCCAACGGCCGTGTTGTCGCTACCAGCATCTGACGGCTGCGGAGCCGCCTCCGCCTCTACCTCCTCCGCCGGGGAGGGGAAGGCATCGGCGGGAGCGGGCGCGACAGCGCTCGCCAGGCCTCCGGCCTCGGAGCGGCGCGCGGCGGGCGGACGCGTCGCAGCGGCTGACGCCGTTTGCCATGGCGGCGGCTTCGCTTTCGTCCGTTGAAATGTCTGGAGCAGGGGCAGAGAAGGACAATATGCGGGTGATAAGTGTTCGAATACTGACACGCATGTTATTCGGTCTCAGCTTACGACCTTGGGCAGGTTCTTCATCAAAGGCGATTACTTCAACATTAAACCATTATTTCATATATTACTTGCTTATATGCGTGAAAATGCAGGCTGTCAACAATTCAAACACGAACACTCTAACCGTAACATAAGTATTTATCATTCAGATATACATTTGAAACACCCGAGGCCACAGCATATATTTTCCAAACCGTTTAAGACATTGACATGCATTTTGTATCAAGTTGTCGATGATGGGGAACGTAAAACAGTTCGTTTCCTTCTTTACAACGTTCTTTAATTTTTCATATATTGACACAAGTTCGATTTTTTAAATGGGAGTATATCTTTTTGGTCGTCATTTTATTATTTTTAAAGACACAAATACAGTGGCAAAAGAATTGTAAATGTTCAGAAAGAAACTGTAGAAAAACGTGTTCAACTTCCTCTAGTTCCTCAGAAGCCATTAGTTCTGCGCCTTTCCATAACGGTTTTACGGAAGGTGCATAGGCTGTTTCCGTGGCTGGGGTCAGTGTCTTGAATGCAATTAATTGTTACGTTGTCATGTTGTTTTAGACCCATCTTCCTTTACAGTGCGTCACTATTCATCATGTAATAATTTCAAAGGCAATCCACGTGAAGTTAGGTACATTTTTGAAGCGAAGTTTTGAAACGTTTTATTTTCGATTCAGTTAATTAGCCTAATAGACCAAACTGTGTGTAGCATACTTAAACTTTTTCACTAGTGCATTACTATATTATTTGACGAATGGTACGTTGAAAACCATTCCCAGGATGTATTTTGAGCACAACAAAATAACTGTACACTATTGCAAGCAAGTTTGAATGCTTCAGAATGGAAATTCACGGATTGCTGTATAGGACGGTCAATAAATTGAACGCTGGGATGACCAGTTTGGAATTCTCAAAATTTCTTTTGATGGGCTATTGTAAACTAAAACAATATTTTACGCCAGAGGAAAGCAAAGGAAATTTAATTTTGAGAATTTAGTAACATTGTGAAAATACGATAAATTCAGCGAATGAATTAAATGGAGTGAAAGCTTGTGTTTTTCGAAGTGCAGTTATATATTTTCTTACAATTGTTTTATCTAATTGTTGTATTTTTCTATAAATATATGTGTATGTGAATTAGTTTCGGTATACTCGCTTGGAGCCCCACAGGTAGATCCCTGGTCAGCGTGCTAGCATTCCACGACCGATTCCGGGTTCGATTCCCGGTGGGGGCTGATTATAGTGTACCCTTCCTTACAATGTCTCTTTTGCTGTGCCGAGAAAGCTCACTTCTCGGGTTGAGAAGACGAGAATACAGCATAGGGATGTCTATTTGCACGCATCTCATAATGCTGGTAGGCTTTGTTACGGCCAGGAGCTGTTGTGCCAGTAGTGATACTGACAGATGTGTTATGACGCACCCTGCTTCCCCAAGGTCAAGTTCAGCCTACAGGATTACCACTACCACCTTGCCTCAAAGTATTGTTGGGAGCTGAGGTACTAGTAATATTACACACGAATTTTAGAAAAATACAAAAGGAAATTAAGTGTGGGGCAACCAATGAGATTCTTCAGGTAAAATCAAAGACACAACAAACGCCCTAGACAACATTTACATAAACAATTTTTTCAAAATACACAACCCTAAATAAGGCCTTTTGTATGTATGCTTAAACACTATTGGTTTTAATTTCACGAGTAGTATAATCTAATGTTGTTAATATGTAATGTTGCTAGCGACTTAAAAGAGATATCGTAATTTTCCGGAAATTTGAGAGTCAAACCTATACGAATTTATGATGGAACTGACTCTTAGTTCTTACATACCTATTTTGAGAAACATTTAATTTGTCGTTCTTTCACTCACCTGCGATAACAATTTGGATATCGCTGATTTTCTCCACAACACTGAGAACACATGATAGCAAGCGTGTGGTAACCAGGATCGTTTTAAGAAACGCTCTTCTGTTGTGGGCGGCGTGGACGAATCAGAGGAAGCATGTTGATATTTACGCTCCTTTCTTTCGGCACCGGAAGGAGGTTTGTGCGACGCGTTGGCTCGATTGATTTTTTTGCAGACTCTGTTCTGCGCCGATAAGAGATTTCTCTGGGAGCGTGGTGGCGAATGTCCTGCTACTTCGGCATTTGGTTGATTGGTGTTTAGAAAGGTGTTGTAAGAGGACTCCGGCATTCTATCCTCCTCGGTCGTGGATTTTTTGTAAGAGAAAATAAGATCTTCCCGCGGAGATGAACGACGTTCCTTCCTGACGGACCTTTGATTGGATACCTTAACACACCGATTGCCATCAAAATAAGGAGCATTGTGCGATAACTCGCCACATTTGTCTTTGGTGCTGGTTCTTCTATAAGTTATATCGTCCCGAGCTGCTCTATGACAATCGTCTTTGAATGAGGATCCTGCTGCCTCATTATCAGTCTGATCCCCGATGTACACAATTGCGGCGGATGGTGTATCCGATGCAGACGACGGCGAGTAAAGTGTATTTACTTTTTGTGTGGATACATCATTATTTACTCCCTCAGCACCTGTCTGTTTTTTGTTGAATGGGGTCTTCGACGTGGTTGATGGCGTATTCAGGGATTTGACATGGAAAGTGTGATCATTCTTCAACATCATTTTTTCTCTTTTGCAAGACATTCCTGCGCATTTTATTCTGGTACCATTCGATTGTTGAAGTGCTCCTGCTGACTGTTTGAAATGAGACGGCTTAGTACCCGAGACTTCAGCATATTCTTGGGGCAGCTGACGCTCTCCAACGTATGAAGAAGTTTCTTCTCTTCTGTCGTCTCTGTCAATATTCTCAGGATTATCCTTCCGTGCCTGTGATCTTTCTTGAGATAAATTAGTATCTTCTGGCGAAGATAATTGATTTACTCCAACAGATGTACTTGGTTCTTCTTCTTCTTGACTACCTTGAGGTCTCGCTTCCTGAGGTGGTCTTCCCTCATTCGCCATTGATGCTCTTGCCGCTTTAATTCTTTCTTGGAATTTATCAAACGCAATAATACTCGCAGATTCTTCCAATACTGTTGATAAACGTCTAGCATGCCATAGTATTTCTCCAGCAACAATATTATCATGATCGTTTGCAACAAGCTCCAACCACGGCGATATTCGTTCTAAATATTCTTTTTTCTGCTCATCTGTTATGTTCGTATTTTCGAAAATATTTTGAGTGAAAATGAGCATTTCTCGAGAAGACATGCGCGTTAAATCAGAGGGTAAGTCACTTGTGTTGACAATTTGCTCTTCTTGTTCACTTGGCCCTGAGCTCTCAACTGATTCTTGAATTCTAGTGATATCTTGTTCTCGCAAAGACTTGAGTTCATTTCCCGATGGAGAGATATTGGTGAGTTCAGAAGCATGTGCGCAAATCCGTAGCAAGTCTGGTGGTGGCGGCGGAGGTGGAAGATCTTCTGCTGCCCATGTGGAAGAGTCTGTAAAAGTAAATGAAATAATTAATGTGCGTTATTTAACGAGCGAAGTTGCAAACATTTGAATTTTGCGAAAAAAGTTTCAAATGGCGCAAATGGTTTAATATGATTTTAATCCTTTTTATAAATCGCGTGTAATGAAACACTCATTTTACTTTTGACTCAAATGAGCTTTTTGTCTTTTGAATATCTGATAAAAGAAAATGATACTCTGATTAAAAGTTTTCATATTAATCTGTGGCTTAATATTTTTTGCGTTTTACAGCGGTTATGAATAAATATTATGTAAAGAAAAGTAAGAACAGTTTTAAGGAGGGGATAGTTTAGCCACAATTAAATGTTCATATTATTTTATCTTCGTTGAAAGTGCAGTGGCGGCTCGTTGTCATGCCATTAGGGTATGCAACGTCTCTCTTCTCTCTCCCTTTGTCCTCCTCTCTCTCTCTCTCTCTCTCTCTCTCTCTCTCTCTCTCTCTCTCTCTCTCATACTCACCCATATTCAAAGGCATACATCACATGCATACATATATACTCATTAACATCAATAATGACAATTAAACACAGAGCATCTTATGAAGTCTGATAGCATGCTGAAGGGCATCTTTCATCAGCAGTGAAGGTTTCCCGCATTTCTTTTTACAGAGATCTGCTTCTACTTCGCTGGGAAAGTACGCCTCCGAAATATGTACTACTAGAGTCGGATTACCGCGTATCTACTCAACACGTTCCAATACCGTTTTTACAGGGATGTTAAGAGTTCTATTGTACACATTGATTCAAACCTTTTTTACTCGCGCTTTTCAAATGAATTGATTCCTTCTATTATTTGGCGAGACTCAGGCCATGAGACCTGTTCTTCCGTCTGACCAGGCCAATTTCTCTACGCTATAGAGTATTTTCCATAAGCTCGCTGTTCAAATTTTAGACTAAAAGTACAAGTTACGGAATTCTCAAAACAATCTAAATAATTTGCTGTCTACCCTGTGTGACGAAACACAAAGTCAATTCAACTCAACTTTTTTCAGCAAATTTTTCGTCCCGCTTGCCAGAAAAACGAACACTTAGTTTTTTGGTTTTTCAAAACGCATTAAAACAGTAGCCAACTACGTACGTTTAGGATTTTCATTAATTTGAAATGGTTTTGTAATTGCAACTCACTTCAAAATATGAGTACTCAGTATAAGAATACTTAGTAAACAATAAAACACTCAAAAAGAAGTTCCTATACAATGAAATGGGAAAAGTACTTGCATGAAAGAGAACTTCACTGCGACATATTGTATAATAATAATAATAATAATAATAATAATAATATATTAACTGCTTTGGGAAAGATCCCGGTGTCAGCTCTCCATAAGTACATCAAGTAGTACATTTAAATTTCATGCAAGTTATACGCTTAATTAAGTACATTAAAAACTCATTTTTATAACATATTATGACTAATACTAAATGAATACAAAATTTGAATGCTCTAGTCTAATATATGTACAGTTGTTAGAATTTTAACTTGTTTTTTTAATTTATTTTTATGTTTTCTGGCGTCTCCCGATAATTTTGCAATTTTGGTCCTGACGACTAGAACATGATTTTAAGAGTCACTTCAGACTATTTTATCTGAATTACTATTGAAAGCTGTATACAATTTTACGTGTTTAATTATTTTCATTGCTGTTTCTGTTACGTAGCAATGCGTCAGAACATCAGTTATACGTTTATCGTTTGTGGTCAACGCAGAATAGTAGAAATAGTTATTTCAAACGATACAATACGAGAAAAAACAACATGGTTCCATATAATTACTTATACTAATAAAAAGTGTTTAATCATGCAGCTCTTTTAAGTGCTAATTTTCATAAGTGTGATAATTTCTTTACTCGAGAAGTACACACCTTATATTTCTCGATTCCGAGGTTTGAATAAATCTGAGAAAAAGCCTTTAAATGAAGTATTGCTTATCATTTCTGAAATCATTCTTTTTTATTGTTTTATACTATTTTTGAAAGAGATTAAAATATGACAAAATATTTAGATTTGTGTCACTTTTTTTGAGAAATTAAAACTTAAAATGGCAATTTTTTTAGAAATGCGTTAATACTGTCTAGAATATGGAAATAAATGAAACTTTAAATTGTAATTTCATGGAATATAACAAAATAAATGGATAAATTAAAATATGCTTTACCGGCAAACGAGAGGAGCTATTTGAAAACTTCCAATTTTCAAACCTTGTAGTATTGTCTGGGAGAAGCTCTGTTCATATCAATGTGACATTGGTATAAAACAAACGCGATTAACACACAAATTAAACCTACGTAGGAACTGAATTCACTCCCATTTATGAACTCGGTTATCTCAGTTTACAGTTAGAAATGAAGGTAACAAAAATGCAATCGAGAAACGAATCATATTGTACATGTGGTATACAATCAGCACGTCAGAAACAAATGCACAAGGTGGGGAAAAGTCAACCAACCAAGTCTGGTTATGTATTTGGCTACAAGTACCCGTACATTTAAACAATTTTCATTTTTGGATTAAATAAAAATATCATCTTGGAGTTAAAACCATACACCGGACCCTCGACATTTCTCTCATTCTTCTTCAAAGGTAACGCGGTAGCATTTATTTTATCCGGAAGAAGGAACACGTTATGCTGTGAACTTTATTATCTTGCACTAGATAGCTAGCTTTCCATTGTAGACTGTTTAGAAACTGGCAGAGAATCCTGTACGTGTTGAAAACTAAATTGAACGGCGACGCGCGCTGTTGAGAGTGAAGTGACAAGGATCCACGCACCGGCGCCCGTCGACCGCAGGGAGCCCAGCGCCGTCAGCAAAGAGTTGAGTAGCGCGCAGCAGTCTGCCGGGGCCGCCTCCAGCTCCACCTCCGGGGCTGCCCCCGCCCCCGCCGCCTCGCCGCCGCTCTCCATCTCTCGTGTCTGCGAAAGCCTCTCGTCACGCGTGCAATAACATTTCTCCCATGCTTTAAATAATTTCTTATAAAGTTTCTCGAAAACTTACAAGTGTTTTAAAAAAATTATCTCAAAATTGAGCAGTTTCAGAATCGCTTAAAAACATTTTCCCAAACACGCCTTTTTAAAACTTTTGGTACGGACACTGAATACATACACTGAATTACATGACGTATAAGCTATTTTGATTAATTCTTTGAGGTCTTCAAAAATTACAATGTAATTTTTTTAAGTATCTCTCAGGTTGTTAATATTTATTTATATTAAGGACATCTTAATTCATTGTTGTGTTTGTAAGCACAAGTGTTTGAAATGACTTCTTAACGAGTTTCTCATCTAAAACTTCTCATGGAATTGTGAAAAAACGTATTTTTCAAGACGATAAGTAACAGCTGGGAAAATAAGGGCATATACACGGACCTATTTCTTGTTGCGATAAATTGTACCAAAAAATCGGTTGATAAATTGCGAAGATAAATCTCTTAGTTAAATCGTACATAATCTATTAACGCAAAGTTTTATTGGATCAATATTTCTTCTCAATTAATCAGTCCAATTTATTTGTACGTATGTGTTGTTTTGTAACAACTATTTAGTCAAATCTGACCAATTTATCTGTGATCTTTCACTATTTTATAAAATATGACCGATTTAACGTTGAAATTTCGTTCAAGAGTATGTGTATTGTTAAGTTGAACATGGACGAAACTGCTTCCGTACTTGTTGGAATGATTGGGTACATAGTAATAAAAAGAATAACAAGGAATCATTCAAAATGGGTCAAATCCTCGCCACTGAAAAGAGATTTGAATCACATGCTGCTTGAAGATGATTCTGACGATTTTAAAAATTACCTGCGTATGGATAAGAAAACTTTTACGCAATTACTGGAGCGCGTGAAAGAAAATCTAACTGAACATGTAAGTATAATGTGTCAGGCAATTCCACCAGAGGAACGTATGATTGCTACATTATTATTTTTAGCGACTGGGCGATATTATAATTGATAGCGATTTCGGTTAGCATAGCCGAACAAACTCAGGAATACACAATTCCAGACACATGTCGTGTATTATTTGAAGAACCGGAAGAAGAATTTTTAGATAAGGTTGTTCCTACTGGGGTCATTCCATGTCAAATCAGCTAAAAGGTGTAGTTTAAAACTCTCTGTACCCACTTTTTGTGGCAAGAAATTATGTAAGTTTTTTATTTCTCTTATAGACATAGTATGGCGAAACTAAAAAAATTAAACATTTTTTATAACGTATTAGAGCTTTACAAGAGATTGTTGATGTACACTCATAATCATAAAAAAGCTGCAGCGCGATGGACCCTACTGATCCGCTGCAAACTCAGTGGTATTTTGCACACAATTTGCTAAGCCTTCGTTTTCACGGTATGGCCTCAATTTTTTTCTTCAAACTTTTCGTACAGATAGTGTTAATTGCAGTGTTTTAAATGACAAAATTAATTTGCTATATTCTTTTTCTTTTTCAAAAATTACACAAATATGTTTTTTTTACATATTTTGAAATATCCCACGCCTTTTGATATTCCCAGGTATTTGTAATCATTATTGCATTTGTAAGATGTAGTGCTTAGAATTATTTCAAATGAACGTTTTCGAAAACTAAACATTTTCTGTGATAATGTGCTTCAATTTTTGCATTTACAGGTACTTTTAATCGCCATTTTTTTAAAAAGTTAAAAAAAGGTCCGTGTAGCACGAGGTTTTGCTGTTCTTTAATATTATTTAGCTAATATATCGGCTCTACCTTCAGAAGTTATCTTGGAGATTACAGTAAATTGTGCAGAGATATTATCGAGTTTTGTGCTGGTCTAAGAAAAAAAGAGAAACAAGGACACCATGAAACCCCTGCTAAAAATAAACTCATGAACCTAAAACCTAATATGTGATTTCGTCTCAAATAGGGAAAAGGTATCAGTATTATATTTATTTTTATGTATCAATAATGCGATTTTTGATGTGACAATAATGATTACAAATAACTGTCTGTTGAAAGTGTATTAAATGAATGAAACTTCATCACAATTGTTAGATATTTTGATAGATTCTAAAGTATTACATTTTGCAACACTATGACCGTATATAAAAGTGATAGTTCAATCCGAATATTACTTCTCACGTGTAAAACCGTGGTATACCTTTGAAGCACAATTAATTTAAAATATATTTACATGCTCTTATGCTTGGTACAAAATCTTCAGAATAAATGGTATTGCCATCATTTTATTCCTTGTTCGACAGAAAACCACAATAAGTAACAAACTTTTAATTATTTCCTACAGGGACATTCTTTCCTACACTAAAAGAAGTGGTACTATTACCTACGTTTACACTCTACATCCCTACCTGTTCACTTCCGACATCATCGCCATCGCCTTTTGAAGTACTTAGAAGTGTCTACGACTTACGTTGCGCATGAGACGCTCTCGTAGGCTCTGCAACTCGATGCGCAGCTGCGCGGTGATGATGTCCAGTTCACAGCAACACTGCTCGCGGGAGCAGCACTGTCCTCGCTGGGTACGTCGGATGACTCCTACGAACACATAACACCTGCGGTCGCAATTTTATTCATTTGTATACCGCCTTTCTGTCTTACTAGGAGCCTTAGTGTTTGCATGATATCAGAGGACGGAAGTGATACATATTTACTTATCGTAAGGTGTTTAATTGTAGGGAGACGGCCTTTGGCCGTAGTTCCGCACCTGTACTTTAGATTAGGTGGATGTGCGGGAGAGTGGCGATATTTCGGGAGACGATGAATGGAGAAGCGGGAAATAGGGGTGCATTGCGAAGGAACGAGGAGGCGCGGGCAGAAACTTCGCGGAGACATAAATAAAATTATTTCCCATTTACGCTCTCGATATAATTGATTCACTTTCCGTTCAAATAGATGACTTCCATAAATTCACACCAGCGAGTACCAGCTACCTTGCCCTAGTTAGTAAAATGAAACGTAAGAATAAGGAGTTGGCGGAGTGCTCACTTTCGGCGTCTTTGAAGATCTTGCTGTTGCTTTGCCTGAGGACCAGCCCATGCGTCAGGACCGTCGGGGACTTCAGGCCTTGGCTCCCAGCCCCGGAGGCGGAGCCGGCGTCGGACGCCGCCGCCTCCATCACCCAATCCCCTGCCGTCGCCGCCATCGCGGGGGCAGACTGTGGTCGCCCCATGGGCCACGCCGCGGTGAAAAGTCTATCCGGCATGGGGATCTAGCAGAGGAGGGCACATTTATCATTTCTTTTTACCCCTCCTCGCCTTCCTCGCTAATTTAATCTATGACTATATCAGTGTTATGAATTAAGACAACTTTCACGATCCTTCGACATATCTTTCATTTCACAATTATTGTTTTCGAATTTCAAATACTTAAAAAAACTAAAACCAGATTAATCTGGATAATCCCGCAATTTGAAGGTGATGAGATTGTGGTTCATTAGAGACCTTCTAAATATTCAGCAGTGTGTATTAAAGTCATATAAATGTATAAAAACTACCAAGGAAGACAACTATTGGTCGAAAAGCATAACGTGCAAACATGAAACTGTTGCACTGACTTTGAATATATTCTCTGAAATGAAATTTCCTCACAGATGTACTCAACACAACAATCTGTTGAATTAATCATGTATGTTGGTGTTTTAGATACTTAGTGGCTTACCTCACGTACTTCTTCCACACGTTTACCACGCAAGGACCGGTCCTCGTCAATTCTGAAAGTGAAGAATAAAAAAATGTATACCATGCCACACTCGTTTTTCTTTTCGTTAATATACATATATATTATTTCGTATATATACTTCATTTTTACACATACATATTCATTGGTCATTGCTCCAGAGAAAGAAAAAAAAACAAAGTGAATTATTATTCTATATTTGATAAGGTACTTATTCCCATGTTCACGTAGTTGTTCTTTGTGGTTAGAACGAAAGTCATACATGATTTACATATTAATTGACGAATAAACATTTACTCATTAATGGGCTTGACAACAATAAATTGAAATTTTTTGAACAAAAGTTAATTTGGTAAATTAAATGTATCAATTGTTCCGAACATTTCTCAGAATTATTGCTCTTTGGGTTTATCGAAACTAGTTTCGGAGGAATTTGTCAGGAAAGCTTGTCCAAGAATGTTTTACGTTTATACTTTCCCGTATGCGTACGTATATACGAATAAATATACGTAGCATGGAGAAACTCATGTAATGCTACGGAAAATCGATTTCGAGATACGCGGAAATACACGTTTTGGGGGACCCCTGATATTGATTTTTTTTTCTTTTCAAAACGTTCTTCCATCTGCCTGTCTGACCGTCTGTTCGTCTGTGAACACCACTAGCGCCTAAACCGGGGCTTAGGTTTTTTCCCCAATGGATATGCCCCAAATCATCTGGCTCGTCTCAAAGCGCTGCGATTTTCAAAAACACTCTTTAAAATTTGGGGGTACTTCATAAGAAGCCTCAGGGAAATTTTCAAAACTTTCTCAAAAATTGCTCAATTTTTTCTTTAACATTTTTGAAATAATAGAGTAAAATATTATTATAGAAGTCCGATTAATAAGTCCGATTTTCAATGTTCACCACTGAATTTTCAAAAATTTTAAAGTTTGAATTTCTTCCTACAACAACAAAAGTGGAGAGAGAGAGGGAGAGAGAGAGAGAGTGTTTCCCTTCAAGTAAATTTATTCCTCTATAGTCAATTCTTTCATTAAGAACATGTACATTTTTTAGAAAACAGTAGTAGTTTTCGCACAAAATTGCGTTCAACAAGGGCAATTTTAAAAAATAACAAAAAGAAGACTCCTCGAAATCGCCTCCAATTCATTTCTTTAAGTATTTGGCAATGATAATGCGAAATGTACTCTATAAAAATACATAAACACAATATTGCTCTTTTATTTGTTTTTTCAAAAATTACAAAGTTTTAATTTTTTGACTGGTCTCTAAAGTCCTTTATATTTTCATTAGCGGCAATTTGTTCACATTATTGTATTTATGTAATGTAATTGTACTTTATCAAAATGTATTTTTTAATACCTCTCACGCCTTTAATATAAACTTTTCTCACAATTTGTGAACACTATTGCATTTGCGAGTTTAAATGCTTCAAATTACTACTAACATAGTTTTCCGAAAACTCAATAATTTTCTGTGAAAAGAGGTTTAAATTTCGCATTAGCATTTCGAACGAGGTTTCACTATTCTTCAATATTCTTAAACGAATATTTCAGTTCTAGTATTTGGAAACTGAAAAATTGAGAAAATTTCCAAAGAATGTACTTTGGGCGGCGATAGATGGCAGCTGGCAAGACTATGTGGCACTGGCGAATAACTGGTGCTGACCAAAGAAAATAGAGAGCGAATACGAGAAAGTCTGTGCCATTTGAAGCACAAATAGTTGCATTGAAGTACTTTATTTAGAATTTAGTTGTAAATGTTCAAAATTAGTTAAATGCTGTGTAAAAATATCCAGACTTTTATTTTAAACATGGAAGTAGGTAAACGCAAATTTATATTTAGCAGATAATTACATCAGAATAATATTTGTTTACTGGAAATCGTCTTTGTTCTCTTACACTTACACCTTTTCTTCAGATTCTTCTTTCCCTTAAATTTGGACTATATATTTAAATAATTAGTCAGATTTGAGGATGCTTCCTAGCTACAAGAGATGCAATTTTAAAGATGTTTTAACAAATAGCTTCGTTATTTAACGAGTTTTTCTAACGCAAAATCGCTGTTTTTACATTCCCTCCCTTACTTCCTAAGAAGGGAAAATATTGTAATGGTGTGTTGGAAAACGATATATTTTCAACAGAAAACTCTTATTGATCCTTGCTCTGATAGATAAAAGTGGATAAATCTTGTTCCTACATATCAATTACTTTCTCTAACACAATGTATTAAGTCAGCATCCATATTTAGAAATCCTTGATAACGAAAAATTGTTTGACGGCAGAACGTCTGTCAGTGCGTCTGTCAGTGCATCTGTCAGTGCGTCTGTGTGTGAAAATCTTATTTTCGAAATAGGCCCTTATTTGCTAGAAAATTGCATGTAAAAAATTGTACATTTGTTTGAGTAAATGTTTTTTAGACAATTTCTGCTTGGTGTTAATGCTAATTTAACATAAACGTTTTTTTCTAGTTTTGCTCAAACAGCGCATACTTACTCGCATTATTTAGAGCACATTGTATAGACGTACTTAAGTTTTTCAATTTTTCTTTATATGACATTTAAATCGCATTTTTAGAGAAAAAACTTAATTGGGCTAATTTCAATTACGTTTTTCGGATGTGTTGAAAGAAAACACATCAATTTAGAATACAAATTGTAGAATAAAGTAAAAATCGAATTTATTTTGGGATTTTTGATAGTAAATTATAATTCAAATAACAAATATTTTTCATATTCTTTTGATCCATTCCTTTTTTTCGAGAATGTTTCTCGTGGCCTCGTAGCTGGTGAGATATCTGTAATTTCATTAATAATTAGCATAAATTACTCGAAAACAACTAGAGTTTTTTAAAACAAATGTACATAACCTTTGAAATGAACTGATGCTTTAGAAGAGATTATTCAGACAAAAATCTTTATCTTCAATATTATATTTTTCAAATACTAAGTATTTGCAATTTTCGAAATTATGAAGGGGATTCAACGAAAATGACATCTGCGACATTCTTATGAGTTTTTTGGTCTATACGTGGAACAAATTCGAAGAAAAATTTGGAGCGGTTTTTGATATTTCTTTATAAATTGCATAAGTTGCATGCCAAATTGCTAAAACACTACTCGTTTCTCAAAAAATAATACATGACCTTTTTTAAAAGCGCTAATTTTTACTTTCTCGCCTTTATGTACGTAAGAAAAGAAAGTTTTGTAATCGTGCGGGGGAAAAAGGCGAATTGTCGACACAAAAACACTTATTGGTTGCTCAGCCTTAGTAATGAAAAAACGGATAAATCTTTTTAGAACAGATTTTGTACAAAGCAAAAATATGTCTTCAATTTTGTAATTTTTATATGTTAAAATTTTGCTAGATTTCAAAATTCAAGTTCGCTGGGAATGAGAATAGCATCACGAGAACAAAAATTTAAAGGAACGGTTTTAAACAGTTTTTGAGGAAACAATGTTTAATAAAATGAAAAAAATTGACTAGTTTAACTCCAAATAACGCGAAACTTCTTAACTTTTCCAAAAATTGTACAGGATCTTATTTCAAAATCTGTCTTTAAAGAATATATTTTAATAAGTAAGAATCTGTAATTTCAAAATTTTAGTTGAAGGACGCCGAAAAAATTAAACTTTTGCATTTTTTGAAAAATCATTAAATACAACGAAAATGAGACCTACCATTGTCTTAAGCGTCGTTTACGATATCAGACAACAAACTTGAATTAAACAATTGGGATCAAATTTTTTTAACATTTTTTAAATATATTCCAAGGGATTCATGTAAAGTCTACACCAAAATTAAAATATCGGTTTCAAATTGAAGGACCCGCAATGTCAGTTAGATTGATTTCTGGATATCGATTTTGGAGAAAATTGGCTGGGTGGTTTAGTTGCTAGCAGTGGCCATGAACGAATTGACGGGCAGATGGACAGACAGACAAACGGACGGACAGACAGGCGTTTTACTGCCAATAATTTTTGCGTTATCCGGGACCCACAAAACCTGGGTTCTGACAACACAACGTGAGAGGAAGTAATTGACTTTAGGAACAAGATTAACCACTTTTTACCGGGGCCCCGGGAATTAGAGTTTTTGTATCGGAAATTCGCAGTTTTCCTGCGCAGGTTTACAATACTTTCTCTTCTTACGTTGGAAACGGAAAGAAAATAAAAGCTGCCCCAAATTTGTCTTGAATTGTTTCTGTTGATAGAAAAAGGAATACTTAGAAGAGGGGGCAGGTCTCATTTTCATTGAACTCTGAATTTTCGAAAATCATAAATTTAGAAATTAAGGGATTTCGATAAAATAGGTGCTGTTGTAACACCACTTGTTTTTTTTTCATCATTACAACACTTTCTCCATTCTATATAAGAAGGATGCGAAAAATGAAAATGAATATCTTTACATGTATTTTGCATGTTCGGGCAACGGGGAAGAAAGAAATTTATTTATTATTCACGTTCCAAGTTTAAAACGTTTTCTCTCAATACCAATATATTTTACCTCTTTTCTATATAATATGGAAGAATTGAATTTTTTACTGAGTATGTTAAGAACCTTTCGTTTATTTTTTATTAAATTGTTTTTATTAAATATCATTAAGTGTGAATCAATTGCAAACCCATATTGCAGTCGATTTTTATTTTTTTAATTTTTTTTCTTGAAAGTTATTCATTTTAAACTACTCAGACGTTTGGGAGAAAATCAAATATAAATGGATTCTCTTTTCGCGGAGAAACACACATTCTTTTCTTTTTATTTGTGGCAAGTAGTAGCCTAAATCTTTGCGGTTACAACGGTGAGGGATACTTGGCGGGAGATATGCTGTCAGCCGACCGATCACAGCTTGGTGATTCATTACCAAAGCGGACAAATCTCGTTCAGTTATTGATCGTTCTCGCTGGCTTGCTTTTGCAGCGTCTCAGGCGCTACTTATCTGCCCAAGAAGTATATTCGTAGGTCTTCATCAAGAATCGAAAGAATTCGGCAGTATTGGCGGATCGGATGGTGCTCCTTGCGCAGTTTGCTGGTATTTTGGGTGTGTTTCGCTTGAGAAAAATATCAGTTCTCTCAAAAAGAAGAGTAAATATTTTTTTCTACATACTATTTAATAATACACGTATTCCTGCTGTATATTTAATCGAAAAATGGAATCGATTGCACACCCTGTGGATTCCGAGCTGGAATCCACAACCTGTCGACCACATATTCCTAGAATTCCGGGGACAAAATGGAACCCGGGGACAAAATGGAACACGGGGGAAAATGGGACAGTTGGACAAAATGTGATAAGTAAACCCGGATGAGGATTCTAGAGAAGGAAATTTTTAAGTAAGAAACAAGGGTAAATTGCTTAAAATGAATGCATGTATAAAATATCACCCTTGATGTCAAAGCGATACAGGACAAAAAAAACTTGCTGCTCTTCATTTATGTACTGTGTCGAGTCAGACTAATATCTACGGATTAGTTACTATCAAACTAATAAGACACAGTGAAGTTATAAAAATAATTAAGAGTTATTTTTGAGATTGTATAACAGACCAAAATGTTTGAGTAACCACAGATGGCACAAGAAATCTATGAAATAACACGAAACCACCAAAGACAAAGAAAAATGTTTAAAAATGATATTGATACAAAACAGGTATAAGCATTCAAGTTATAGTTAGAAAAACGTATTACCTGGAACTAATACTTTCATCCGGATCAGTGCTTGCAACGGTAATGCTGTCTCCGGACCCTGCACTTGTTGCTGCAGATTCCGTCTTTGGTTCACTCTCTTCTCTATCCTCCGTTTTTTCCTCATCTGTTAATGGCTGAGACCTGCCAGGCGAAGCGTCTCTTTGATCGGTGGCAGTGGCGAAACTCTCCGAAACGTCTGAAACGCTCAAACACTCGGTGTCACTGCTGTTCATCCCGCAGGTTTCGTCCTCGCACTCGGGCCCACCGTCCTCGCTTCGCGGACAAGTGCACTCCGCGTCTTCCGGGGCAAGCTTCTTCTCTCGGGTTCCTCTTTGGCACGAGGCGCAGCCGCAGGCGCTGTGCAGCACGTCGTACTCCCCGCAAAGGCAAAAGATATTCGTGATAGGCAAATCCGATGTAGGGGGAACCCTGCAGTCCTCTGCGGCGTCTTCAGACCGTGACATCAGCGGAATGAGATTACCGTCAGGTCCATCTGTTACTGAAAGAGGTGCATCGTCAACATTTAGATTGCCATCGCTCACATTTGGGGGCTCACTTACACCGTTTGTATGCAATTCATATGCAGACAAATACTCCGGATTTTCGTTGAAGAAAACCGAATTCGTTTCCATTGTGCAATATGATAACGCATTTTCACTTACAACGTCTGGGTGAAAATGGGAAATGTGCGAAGGTTGAGTATGTTCACCGCTCTCCTTATTCTCGTCATCCTCCGTAACATCCGTGAGTCTCGGGAGTGACCTTTGTGAACGAACAAATGTAGGGGCTTGCATGGTTGAAATTTCAGGGGATATTTGAGATGCGTAATGGCCAGGCAGTTGTGACGGCCGAGATTTGCGGTATTTTTTTAACAAGTATTCCGCGTATTCATCTCCATCCACAAATCCAGACGGAGAAACATATAAACTGCTTGAATTGGAATTGGATTCTTTTGCATCTTGAATCGCAAGCCTTTTTCTTGCCCCAAATACTTTCTCAAGGTGTTGCTCAAAGTCATCCAAGCTGTCTCTTTCTACCTGGCCTGGTGTATTCGGAGACATGATCAGATGTTCGTTGGATCTGAACATCTGAATCACTTCCGTGTCACGGGCCAAATCTCGGAGCGTGCTTTGCACATAGCGGGTATTCCGCGTGATGAGTTTCAACCTGCGCGCCCACTCCAGGGGCCGAAACGCTTTCGGTGCCTCGCGTGCGATGCGTTCAATAAGGTCGCTTACGCTGCGGTACACCCACTCTGCCTTGTGATCCCGTCGGGGCGCGGCTTCCGATTCCGCAACCGAATCTCCGGACGCCCACGACTCTGCGCGCGCTGACAGTAACGGTAATTCCTCTTCGAAGCTCCCATGCCGCTCGACGGCGAGATGTTTAACTCCCCTGTCAGTGACGTCCGGTTTCACGCGGGGCTTGTTCGACGCTAGTTGTTTATGACCTTTGTCGATTGGGAGGACCCCTTTGGGTCGTGGATGGTACCTACGATATTGCTGACGTGTTCGGCCTCGACGGCGTGGGCAGGTAGGTATACACGGTTTGCGATTACTTCTCGTAAGCTCGCTATCCTGCAACTCTGGAACGGATTGTTTGATAGGGTGCTCGATGTCTTCCGTTGCCTTTGACGTCCCTGCTCCATAATTCACTTCTTTATGTACACTTGGATAAGTCGCGTTGGTATCCGATTTCATAATTTTACCAGTTTTAATATCTGATTCAATAATGCTTTCTTCCTCTTTTTTAACTTCAGGAACGTCATATTCAACCTCGGTTTCTTCACTGTCGGTAGAGAAATACAGAGGGCACAGTTCACAACTGTCATCCAGGAAAGTTGGTGTGTCTTTTGGTTTGAGCCGTTTTCTTTCCATTAAATTATCAGCTCTTGAGTACTCACTTGAAGATTTATTAAACTGAAGTTCATTAGTCGGTTCAGGTAACAATCCCACAGATTCAGAATGTTCATAGGCAGAAACATTATTGATAGGCAATTTCGAAGTATAGTTCGTAGTATTATCAAACAAAGTACTATCTGCCTTGGATGTACCAGTCACATCGATAGAACTCTTACTATTAGATTCTAAGTTTAATATTTCCGATACATGTATAATACTATCCTCTCTGACCCCTTTAATATATTCATGTTCATCTTTTAAATTCTCCAATTTCTCCATTTCACTTTCGAGCCCAGAATTCTGAATACATGTCCTAAAATCTTCTATGAGCATTGACGATTTAACTTCTATTCTGTCTTCATCACGCATTGAACTAGAATCCCGTGGCACTGTTGATGTTACTTGCAGCAATGCGTTGTTATCCGATTTAACAGTCTCATTAGTAACGTATTCATTATCGGTTGAGTCAATAATTTCATCCACATTTGAGATTACTTTAGAGCTATGATTTAAAGTCGGTCTAATACACACACCAGATGTTTCGGGCTTTCCTTGCAAATGTTGTTCATGTGTGAGGTGGCTTGATTCTGTAACAGGTACCACTGATATTACCGGCTCATTTGGTAGGTTATTCATACCGTCTAAAACATTCTGCTCCACCTCAGGCTCAACCTCATCATATTTCTCCTCCAAAATACCGCCTACTAGAGACACCTCAGACTTTCGAGCGACAGTTGGCAAATATGGAGATATTTCAGAGACGGAATGAAGAACAGGCTGGTTTCCTGGTTCCTCTGTTTTCGATTTCATTTCTTCGCAAATAATGTTTTCAGGTTTTGATACATCTGCCTTGTGTACATTATCCTTCTCAATTTTTGTGTCAGGAATCTCAATTACACTAGCACATACTTCCTCGACCTTCTGTGATGACATTTCTAGTGCCGAAGTTTCCTTGTTCAATTCAGATATTACAATGTGCGATTCGATTTTTTCCTCGATATTATCAGAAGAAGTAGTAATATCAACTTCCAACTTAAATTGTGAGTTGGAAGTGTTTTCAAAGATATCTGAATTGTTATATTTCTCTTCCACTGAAATATTTAAGTCGTCATAATTGTCTGCAAAGGAAGCTGGAACCTCAAGCGACGCAAATTGACTTATAATTGGAAGTGAAATATGTTTACAATATTCATCCGAAGGAAAATCTGATACCTCAAGTAACTTTTCAGAAACTGTGATATTTGAAAAGTGCATTTCAGTTGACTTTTCCGATGTATCAAATCTGTTTTGTACTGTTTCAGGTATTTTTGAGTCTTGTGAAATTAACATTCTTGGAGAATCTTCACTGCTTTCTTTTGTCTCAAATCTTGAGTTTTCCTTGTAGGGACTTATAAACTCCACTGGATCTTTATCTTGGATTGCAGTCTTTCTATTTTCTACGTTTTCTTTTGTGTCCGATGTCTGGGACAATATGTTTATCTCATTAAATACTGTATTTATCCCTAACTCAGAAGACATACCCGTATTCAAAGGCGATTGAAAATCGCCATGTGGGGGTACGCATAAATTTTTTTGATGATCTTCTGCGGCATCTAGAACACTGTTGACATCAGTGTTGATAATTGATAGCACAGAGATGATTTCATCGTATACATTTTCTGGATTTACAATATTTTCTTTTACCTGGTATTCTTCCGGCAAGGCTTCACAGACATGAATAGAAACGAACTCCGTTTCAGGTGTCAACGGAATTGGCCCATTCACACTCTCGTACTCCTGGTACTCAGTGATACTGTATGCGATTTGCTTCTGTTGCTCGCTTTGCTCCGGAGATTTAACGACCGTATGAAGGTCACTCCACAATACTTCTCTGGGCTCGGGTGCGACGACCTGTGAGAATTCACATGAAATTAATTTGGCTTTTTCTGCCTCTGCAGTATAGATAGGACTTAATTCGTGTGCGATGTGCTTACTTTGGCACGGAGGATCGTTCGTTGGGGGTGTAGCATCCCCGTCTTGCCCATCGTTTTTCAAAATAATTCCTATTGTGTCGGACTCGCTCCTGGAAGCAGCAAAAGGGATAGATTCAGCTACATCATTTTCTGATGAAGTGTGACTGTAGTGCTCCCTGAAAACGTTAGTTATCTGAAATGTGTCCTCTGTGAGATCTTTAAAGTCTGTTTCTTTGGTCGTAACCGGAAGTGAAGGGATCATGAAATCTACAGCTGGGTTCGGGTTAGCTTCTCGTGGTGATATAACAGATTGGGGATCC